GATTCAGTATTCCATGAGAATCAATAACTGGATTGAAAGATAAAGGCATTTCAGGTAAACTGAAGCAAATAGAAGTTCCTGTGGCAGACCTTAATTCCTCTAGTGGCTGTGTTTTCTGTGCTCACCGGAATAGTAAACTGATTAAAAAAACTCAGAATTTTGTCAAGAGACAAAAGAAATCAAAGGATAGTATATCTTTGGAATCTGGTAACTTGCTGTTGCTACTATTTGGTAACTTTGTGAAACTGAGATGTATATCACTTTTTAAATTCCAGATATTGACTATTTAGTTGTATGAGTCATAGTCAAGAACTGGGCAATTTTTAGATTGTAGAACTACTTCATTTTTCTTTAGGCTGGTCTTTAAGCCAGATTTAGAAAACAAATGGCCATTTTGCTACTCTCCCCCAACTCTTAATCTGTGGGTAAACTATCCTTGTGGGACCTAATTTAATGGAATTGGTTTCTACTTTTGCAAGGATATTATTGTATGCCATGAATCCGTCTTCCACACAGCTGAATCACCTTAAACTCAAAGTCCTCATGGATGCCGAACAAGGCCCCCAAGGCAGATGTCATATTCAAGTTCCAGGGCAAAGAGAATCAGCATGTACCTGGACAACAGTGTGTGTGTTTGTGTGGTGTGTTTTTTTGTTTTGTTTTTGTTCTGTTTTTTTTTTTTTAAAGAAAAATCAAAGGATATTTTTTGCCAGGCTGCAACAATTATTTTGGGATATGGGTCTCTCCCTTATTGTTTTGTACCTGTCATATTTGCAGTTGAACTGTTTGGGACAGACCTGAATTTTTAGATATTCATAAGTGAAAAATGAGGAAACCACAGCAGAGATCAACAAATTCGAGTAGAACAGGCAGTTCATATTATGTTGTTTTTTTCCTTCTCAATGTACTTTAATTTTCACAGACTCGGGACATATGTGGGCTCTGGTGTTAAATTTAAAATATGTGGTGGGAACACTTTTATTTTTAGTATGAGAATAATACTGTATTTTCAAAAGGGTTTTTTAAATTTGATTTTATGTTCCATGTCAAGTACTCTGAAGGTCTATAGACTGGACAAAATTTTTTAAAGTGACTAAAGATTTTTATTTACACACCCACCACCACATGAAATCCTGACCCCAGTGAAGTCAATGGCAAACTCTCATTGACTTCAGTGGGGGTCAGGATTTTGCCCAAGGTATTTGTTTTTTATTTTGATGATCAGCTTATCACCGTAGATGTTTTACTGCAGGCTTTACATGTCAGGGGACAGTAATGTACATATCTATTGCATATTCATGTGAATGGAGTTAAATATCAAATTTATTTACAGGCTTCTTAGTTTCAGGGTGCAGCAGATAGGTTGCATTGCTTGTTGCCTCAGAAGGGTGGGATGGGTAGAGCCAGGGCCATATTGCAGTGACAGATGCTTTTGTGCTTTAGCAGCATTTATAGCTGGGTTAAGCATGTCTTGAACACCTACCTCATGTTATATTGAGAGACTGAACTGCTTTACTGTACTAAGGTGATTATGGTACTGCAGACATGACATGGGATCTATTTGGGAAGGGTTCTCTTGTGCTGGATTGGAAATTAAATAGTTTTAGTCCTTCTGCCTTTTGAGCCCTTCACCTCTTCTCTTCTACCAATGAAGACAGCCAACATCTCATACTTTTGCTTCTCCCATGAACATCTTCCCTTTTTTGCATACTGACCCTTATGCATAGAACATATTCCCTGGAGTCTGTAAAGCCTCTACCTGACCTTTCACAGCTAGACATTGGACTAATGCAATAGCCTTCTTGTTCTAATAGTGGCATCCCAGACTGACTCAAGTGGCCTGGGAAGGAAAATGTTTAAAATACCTTAAAAATCTATAGTGCAGCTGATCTAACTCCACAAACTACTTAAGTTCTGTCCCTGAAGAAACACAGGCCAGTGATTTGACCCTCCCTCTTTCTGACATCTATCCTAGCTAGGTACCATAGCAACACCATCTGATCAATCATCCAGCAGTAATAACAGATACTGAACGGAGGGAGTGATAATCCATACACTAAAATTTGTTTGCACGAAACATACTGAATAACTTAAAATAACAAAAGTTAGAGATTGTGACCATTCTGAAAGGTAGGAGAAGGGGAGGGTGAAATTAGCTGAATAAATTGTTGGATGCAAATAGTTCACCCATCTCCAAATGGGACTATTCTGTGGGCAAATCCAATGTGAAAATTCCCTTACAGGAGTTAAGGCTCATGGCCAAATTCATCCTTGGTGTAACTACTGAAATCTAGTTTATTGCTGAACTATGAGTCATATGATAACAGCCTACTGTAATGATTAAAACCAGAATGTCTGTTTTTGGCTTTTGTTTTTTGTTACAGTAATTCTGATCAGGATACTTGTTACACTGCTCAGGGTTCTCTTACTAGCTGACCATGACTACCTTGGGGATATTAAGATTCTATTTTACATAACATTACTAGTCAAATTCTCTTGCAGCAGCAGAAATGTGGCTATTAAACTGGTCTATCATGGGTCTCAATTTTCTTTCCTGAGAACTAAAAACCATGGAGGGGCAGGGGCCGGGGGACGGGACAGACAGTTCTCAGTAGTATAAATGTTTCTTGTCTGGGAGAACCAACTACATGTAGGCCCTAATCATGCAATTGGATTCACATAGTTGGGCCAATGCAGAGCTCCATTAACTTTTGGGGAGCTCCATGAAAGTGCAAAGATTCATCTATGCAGATCTGACAGCAGGCCCATTCTTAGACCAGTCATATATTATTGTATCTAGGCAGAGGCACAGCATCCAGTCCTGGTGAGAAATACACTGAAAGGGCTGTTGAGAGAGGTTGGGTATGTATAAATATTATAACAACAATAACACTTTTTTCAGCTATTGACCTCAAGGCCCTTTACAAAGGGGGCAAGTGGCATAGAATCATAGAACCATAGGGTTAGAAGGGACCACAAGGGTCATCTAGTCTAATCTGCACAATGCAGGATTTGTTGTGTCACTGTCTATCACAGATGGGAGAAACGAAGGGTAGAGAGGTTGTGAGTTGACAAGGTCAAACAGAAAGTTACTGGCAGAGCTGGACATGGAACCCAAGTTTTCTGATTCCCAGACCTGTGTCCTAATAAGTGGAGTCATTCTGCTTCACTACTTTGTCATTGAAGAAAGTCACTGAAAGCCAGTCACAACTAACACCATATTGGCTTTGATAAAATTCCTAATGAGAGCTCAAAGTACAGAAGCATCTAAATGTAGCGCCTACTCTGTGACAGGTGCAGCTTCAGCAGCAGCGAGGAAGGTATGTGCCAAATCCGTATTACCCTCAGTTCTCTAGTCTGAGTTTTGTGGAAGATTACTGGAGTCCATCAAATGTAATCATATACAAACTGGCCATCATAAGTGTCAGATACCAGCGGATACTTCCCATTTATATAAAATAATATGCCATTCTTCATCATATAAAAATAGATTACCTTTGTTCCTCTCAATATTACCTATTCTTAAAAAACTATGATACATTTGTTTTATCATTTGTAATACCTAAGGGGAGAGTTGTAGTATTACCTCGTTCTTAACCAAGGGACTAGCCTATACTCAGGGTCTTGTCAGGTTGTTTCCATTAAGAGGATAATTTGATGATGGAGTCAGGTATTTCTTTGATGCAATCATCTTTATTTTCAAGGAGTGTACAAAGTCCTATTTCCCTGAACACAGGAGGAATTGAACAACAGGAGACAGTTCATTTGCTCATGTTTGCAAGCTTCTTTCCAGCCAGCACTCCACCCAGAATGCTCCCTCTCTTTGTTTTCTCTCAGAGCCATGTTTCCAGTGCTTCTCATGATGTCTGCTTGGTTTTTTAGCTTGTTCTCTACATGTCCTCTGGCTGCTTCTAAGTGCTTCTCCTCACAGATCTCCCTCATACAATGACCAGGACCCTACCAAATTCACAGTCCATTTTGGTCAATTTCACAGTCATAGCATTTCAAAAATCATAAATTTCATGATTTCAGGTATTTAAATCTGAAATTTCACAGTGTTGTAAGTGTAGGGAGCCTGATCCAAAAAGGAATTGTGGGGGGCAGGGGCACACAGTTATTGTAGGGGGGTTCTGGTACTACTACTCCTGCCCACAGAGCTGGGCCCTCAGTCAGCAGCGGCCACTCTCCGGCCGCCCAGCTCTGAAGGCAGCAGCACAGAAGTAAGGATGACATGGGATGGTATCGCCGCCCTTACTTCTGTGCTGCTGCTGGTGGGGCGCTGCCTTCAGAGCTGGGTGCCTGGCCAGCAGCCGCTGCTCTCCCACTGCCCAGCTCTGAAGGCAGCAATGCAGAAGTAAGGATGGCAATACCACAACCCCCCTTCCAAAATAACTTTGTGACCCCTCCCCCGCAACTCCCTTTCGGGTCAGGGCCCCCAATTTGAGAAACACTGGTCTCAACTATCCTATACAGATTTCACTGAGAAAAGCCCACAAAAGACCAGATTTCACGGGGGTGGCAGGCGAGACCAGATTTCACAGTCCGTAATGCATTTTTCATGGCCGTGAATTTGGTAGGGCCCTAACAGTACCCAATGAAACCTCTCTGCCCACATAGTTAAGTTTCTGACCAGCCTCATGTGTGGCTTGTGTTTTGGGTGGTGGTTTGTTTCAACTATTGTTCTCTAAAAAGGTGCTTGACTGTTTCTTACATCTATCCTGAATGAAGGGTGGCTAGTACAGCCACCAGCTTTGAAGTTTCACCCAGCCTCCATCATAACTATAGGGAATATGAGAGAGAGAGATTACATGGGGCTGGTATAAAAGCTTTATCTGTCTGAGTTTGGGATGGCCATGTTAGTCCTGAGGGGTGAAGCCACAACAGACCATCCCAAATGGGTGCCAGTTAATCTTTTATACCTCACTACACCATCATGTATTCAGTATATGCTGCACTTCACAGGAAAACTGGAAATGTCTTGGAGTTTTAAAATATTTTACCTGTATTTTTCATATCCCTCTGACTACAAAGCCGGGCTGCTTTACTTGCCATGAGTCCTGCTGTTCAGAATCAGAGCTGAAAGTGAAAGAAAAATGATTACCGGTACTGAGGTTAAGATTTTTGTCATGGTTATTTTTAGTAAAAGTCAGACAGGTTGTGGGCAATAACCTGGAATTATGGGATGGGGGGGGGGTTGATGGGAGATGACTGAAGCCTGAGCACCTATGGGGAAGAGGAAAGAGCCCAAGCTCCACGGAGGCTGGGAGCTCCAGGTCCCCTCAGGGCAGCTGGGAGCTCTGGTCCCACCACCCCATGGCTGAAAAGCAGAAAATGTCTCAGAGCTCTGAAAGTCACAGAATCCATGACTTCTGTGACCTCTATGATATAATCTTATCCTGAATGATAACTAATAAATTTTAGAAATCTCCTATAAATTAAATAACATAGTTTTTCCTCATATACCCATATATCAGGACCTTACAAGGCTAAATGCAAATATTGCACATGTTGTTGGAAAGCTGAAATTCTTTTTTTTTCCCAGTAGAACTAAAATTTTAAACCTATAATTGAGGCAAGGCTAAATATTAACTATCCTGGATTTCAGGAAACTGTCCTTCATTCAAATTACATTCTAAGGATGTTTACAGTCCCTCCTATAGCACTTAGATGTCTCTTCCATTGGGCTTCAATTCAGTTTTGAGAGTTTTAAAACTAAGTTTAAAGTTACCTTTTCAATTTCCAGTTTCTTGGGAAGTCCTGTTATCTATGGTACATTAGAAAGAGCAGAATTGTTTTAGTTAATCTTCTACTGGTGCTTTGTTTATATGTATTTTTCTATTCATTTTTGATTTATTAAAAAAAAATTGGAGTAGGACCTATTCAAGGAATTTTCTTTATTTAAAAAAAAATCAAAGTAATATAAACAAATTCACTAGACTTATCAAGGTCAGTGTATAGTTAAGATGCTTTGATAACACTAAGCACCCCTGTATTCACACCCTACACACCATTGTAATAATCTTTGTATAAAATGTGTTGTGAGGTATCATTTGAAAACTGATAACTCAGTGATAGTAATCTTGCATGATTCATGCACGTGATGTGTATTAAGAGTTATGAATGTATAAGGGAATTAGGACTAAAGTGTGTGTGAACCAGGTATGTCAGGGAGAGTCATTAAATAGGTCTACTCTCAACAAAGGAATGTGTGTTTACCTCAGTTTACATGTAAGCAGTAAACATTAAAACAGCAGATGGAGGAGAAGGCAGGAAACAGAATTTGCATTTAAGCTAACACGTGGAAGAAGAAAGATCACAGAGCTTCCTTCACCACCAGCCTCCATGTCACCTTCCTCTCAGGTTGAATAAACTTTACTTTGAGGGGTAACCCTCTGAAGAATCCATTTCAAAGATTTACTGGCCTATAAAGGCTGGGTCTGAATCTCAAGTGATGATCAACTGATTGGATAAACTATTACTATATTATCAAAATGTACAGAGTGAGGTCTTTTCTGAAAGCTAATGACACACTGGTGATTTATCATTGTGAAATGTATGTATGAACACTAAATGAGGAAATATAGATACTTTAGACTTCAAAATATAATATCACTGAGGCCAAACAGGGAGAAACAGGTTCCCTCCCACACAGGAGAAGGCAGCTATTTACCTGTCTCCCATGTAAATTAAGCATGATGGAACCAAAACAATAGAAGCCCAATTTATATACAGGGGGATGGGATGCCCACAGGAAGAGAAGAACAGCATGAGTGCATCCTGCCTCTTGAAACAGTCACTGAACTTTGGAAGATATAAACAAGGACAGAAGCCATTTTTTGGAATCCATCATTAGAAAGACCCAAGGAAACGGAGCTCTTGCAAACTGAGAAAGATGGGCCCTTCACCCAAGGGGCCAGAGGTTGAAGTCTCTGAAAACTAAATATAGGTGAGAAACCATCTTGAACAAAGCCTGTACCTTGCTAGACTAAGTTTTAGACTTTTAGATGCATTTTCATCTTTAGCAAAGGTTACATGCAAATAACTTTCTCTTTTATTTGAACTCACTTAAAATCCTATCTTTTTTTAAAACCATTGTTTTACTAGTATTCTAAACCACTAGTGCTGTGTTTGAATGAAAGTAAATGTTAACTCCAACTGATGTGGCAAGCTGGTGCGTTTTGTGTCTTTACAGGAATGAACAAACAAACCTTATTATTTCTCTGAAGTGTCCAGAAGAGGGCTGGACATTACAGAACTAATGGTTTGGGGAAAGTTCAGGACTGGGAGTGTGTTGGGGTCACCCTGCAAGTAGTAACCAAGGCTGCAGGAAGCCAGAGTGGGGCTGTGAGCTGTAGACAGGCTGCTGGACTCAGCACTGCTAAACAAGGGCAGCACAGCACACAGACGCTCAGGGTGTGATCTGTATGCTTGCAGGCTGGTTGTAAGCATCCCATGTCAGAAGCTACAGCAGCAAGGCATTGTGAGACATTCAGGGTTACAGGACAGATGGTGACACAACCCTTCAATGGTCTGGATTGCCCCCAGACTCATCACAGTTTCTGCCATGCTTTTTGTCTAGGATGTTAGCTTCTTAGGGCAAATTTACTTTTGGACTAAGTCAGTACAACTCACTTGACTTTACTAATTCTGCATCTGCTCACATGTGAGAATTTTACCCATTGTGTTTTCATAGATTAAAACAGAAAGTAAGGTGCCTATGTATCCAATTCAAAACCAGCAGCGGGTTGTTCATTATATAAAGTTACAGGATTCAGGCTTCCAGCACAAAAGAGCTCTCTGTCCTTCAGATCATAAAACAGGAACAGTAATGGAAATGGTTAAGAGAAAGAGAGCCCACTGACCAACCTTAGAAAGCAAAGAACCGCTAAAAGAATCAAACATACACCCAAGAGATGGATAGGCAAATCCCACAACTCAAAAGGGAAACTTGTTAAAGGCCTGATCTAAAACCCATGGAGGTCAGTGGAAAGTTCCCCCCCCCCCCACCCCGGCCCCTTATTTCTATGGGCTTTTGATCAGGCCCTAAACCCTTACACTCCCACTCTCCTGTCAGCCACAGTGTCACAACAAAATGTACTGAAAATCTATCAAAAGACTGGACTGTAGTTCAAAGGAAACGTGCACTGAATGCCCACAGGAAAAAAATGTGTTCTAAATGTGAATGCTCAGTTTGATTTACTCCTCTCTTTGATATTAGAAATATACTGTAACTAAAGACAGCCACTAGCATATCCAAAGAACCAGCACCGTTAACAATCTCTCTGTCTACAAGTCTCCAGTAATATATTGTCTCAAGTATTTATGTAGTTTCTTGTACAGGTAAAGACTTCTTTGTAAACAAAACCAAAAGCCCACCCGCTGCTGCATTGTCTCGTTCCTCACGTGATATCATTCAGAAGGCCAGATTCTGAGGTGCTTTCTCTTCACCCATGCTAATGCATTTAAATTAAATATGGAAGGGGCCTGGTCTAGTCCATTTCCATTCCTCAGTGTTTCCAATGACACAACTATGGATTTGGTAATAGCCACCATATACCTCGTTAGTGGTCCACAGGAAGATGTGGTAGCATCCACATAAAAATTAGAATCTTCCTCAGTGAAAACATGTCAGGACTATTTGTGGAACATACTGAAGAAGGATAAGGGAAGCTGGAAAAGATTACCTACCCTCACATAAACAAATGCATGGACTACAAGATGACTTGGCTGCCTTTGTAACACTTTCAGTAAAACAAGGTGTGAAAGCAATTAAACCTAAATCTTTCACATTTTTCACAAACTGATCCTAACAAAAAGAATGGTTGCCATCCAACAGATGTAAACAGTACACCATCCACCATGTAACAACACCGTGGCATAATGGCTTATATACTACAACTAAAAAAGCCATTAACGTTCCCTCTTCAGTTTTCTCCCACAAGTATTTCCTTTGCTTTCCCTCATCCCTACACCAGTAATGCCCTCTCTTATCCTAAGTGCTACACAAATTCCTTCAAATTCCCCTCAAGCCCCACTTCTAAGCTAAACAACAGTGAAATACCATGAAGTGTAACTTGCAAAAACAAGCAACCTCATAGACTTACTTTGTGGAAGCCTGGATCATCCCTTGTCTGATGCAGTCTGTCCCTGAGTTGTGTGATACACAAGCAAGCTCTTCAGGTGAGGATCTGTCTTGTTTTTCTGAGGCAACTAGCACATTTAGGTGTTCAGAAATAATTATTAATAATACAATATCTAATCAAGAGTCAGGGTCCTTGCATCGGGGATCATCTAGCTATCTAGACTCTGCACACATGTCATGCTTTCCTATGGAGTTGCTATATACAATTGGTAAATAATAACCATTTTGAAAAATGTTAAATTTAGGGACATTATACAGTATTTTCCTCAAATAAAAATACCCTCTCATAACTTCATAACTGTAAAGTAACTGCTAGGTGCTAACACAAGTATTAAATAATAACCATTCTTGGTATGAGCTCTGGTTTGCTTATAACACTTCAGGGAACTTGTTATATGAGCTCATTTATTATAGTTCTGGCCTTTCTTGGTGGGGGTGGGGAGTGAGGCCATCATTAAGGATGAGCTATTCAAAGTTAGAGCTTCATGATCTTCCAAAAATCTTTCTCAGCTTCTCCATATAAAAAGAATTTAAGTTTCATGGCAAAGTTATGTAATATGCAATGTAAGGAATATCTGACATACCGTGGAAGGGCAATGTGTTATGTACAGCAGTATCAGTTCAAGGCATGTGTAACATTTCTAAGATGCCAGAAGTCATTTTTAAGATTGGGTGTAATACATGCTTAATTCCAATAAATGACTGAGAATTTGAATGGGACGTTTTATACTCGGGGAAATTTTTTAAGCAGCTGCAAAAATGAACTTTGCAAACAGAATGAATTCATTATGACAAGGGCCAAACATTCCTGAGTGTGTGGACAGTTACTAGTGTATTGAGGGTGCTAGTGAAATACAAATAAATAACATTAATGGCAATGAAATTAAAACCTCTAAAGCAATAGAAAAACTATATGCAAATCTCCTCTCCTCTTAAAACTTACTGAACAGCAGGCTGTCCTGAATATTAGAAGTCTGAGAAGGCTTGGCAAGATCATAATCTTAAATCATAGCATCATCCTGGGAACTCTGGAACCAGATCAGTAGTTATATGCCTTTCTGCTCCACACACCACCTGCATATTGAGGGAATTGAAAAATGATCCGTTTCTGAAGCTGGCCTCATTATACAGTGACACTAACAGACACATGTATAGAGTGCGCTGCACCCAGGACAATCTTGCCATCTCACAAAATTAGTCAATGGCTTGTGCTTGCAACTTCTGGTTTCACAGGAAAACTAATATGCAGAACTAATTATTTGTCAGTACTGAAGTTCTGGTCCACTGTGCAGAGCCTGAGTAAAGTGCTTTGCATGGAATCCTATGTGGGTGTATGGAATCCTACTTCTTCCTATATGGAGAGAGGGTATGAAGCACCTAATGACTGCCACCACTCTATTTGAAGGCTGTACCTCTCTTCAGCATTGCAAAATGTGGTGATCTACTGAATTGCAGACAGACTGGCCATGCCCCTATTATGTCCCTAACTTTCTCACATCCACATAATCTTCCTGTGAGCTAGGCTCCACGGTAAAGAATGGACTGCGTTGTTTCTCTGAAAAGCCTCTTCATTTTCCTCTTCCCCATGCAGCATATTTTCTGTCTTTGGGGCCTCCCCACACTGCTTTGTGGGCCACAAGATTTGGCCCCAGGAGAATAAAGTCTATGAAATATTTAATACACTGTGAAATGGCTGTTTTCTCTCCTCTTTGATAGAGCCAGGAGCCTGGAATCCTGAAATTGGTAGTGTGACTCTTTTAGCTAGGCAAACTAGCTCAAGTTATTGTTCTCTCTTGTATCTCTCTCAGTTTTCCCAGGGCACTGCCCAGAATCAGGAATAAGTCTCAAAATACCATGGAAAGAGTATTAACTGGAAGCAAGAAGCTCAAGAAATCTCGCAAGAAAGGCTGCTGATAAGCTTTCCAGCCCACTTGTTCAGACTTGTGAGGTTTGGCTGACAAACCAAAAGTTTGGACTTCTTGAGTTTCAGCCATCACAAAATGTGACAGAAATGCTGTTTTGTGTGACAGATGCTCCAAACTTCCCCTTCAAATGCCCCCAGAGAGTTAAGAGAGTTTGCTTTATCGACCTCTGTACCCTTGAAATATGTGTGCTTCAATGAAGTCCAGAAAACGATGACGACAATAATGTGTGGGATAATTAAAACGTCAGTCCCCCAATCTTCTGAAAATACAGACTCTTTAAACTTTCAATAAATTGTATATGTAAATAAACAAACAACAAATTAATGCAAGCAATAGGGTACATATTATGAGCCAAATGGTGCTGCAAGGATTTACAGGAGCTGAGTGTCTGGCCCAAAATCTCCTCCCAGGTTGCATTACTAGCACGCAAACATGTTCAAAGTGATGCTCAATAACTTTTAAACTAAGATTTAATACATACCTTTCAAGCCATCTGCTTTTTTTAATCTATATCTCAAATATTCAAAAGGCACTTTTCTCTGCAAAATAGCTTTTAAAAAGATTGCCATGCCAGACACACATTGTCATGATCTTTATTTAAACAAAGTCAGAGGCTTGTAGACTGAAGTATCAAACTAAAATTTTCTCAACTGAGCCTTGCCATAAAAAGAGCCACGTGTGTCTATAGTAGCAATTGTAGCCAACAAAACTGAGAAATTCACCTAATTAGTAAATGTTTTATGGATATTTTTAGATAAGTGTTTCTAAATCTCTACACATTTTGTACAGAGGAACCCAGTTCAACTAATATGAACTGAAGGAAAAAATTTTGCAAGGAGAATGTACAGTATTTGAAAGCAGATGGAATATGTGGACTAAAATGCAGGGTCATTTTTTAATCTTGTACAGGTCCTCCGTGAAAATAAGCTTCCTGTCTAGCTAATTGTTACTGGACCCATTGAAGCAATATATTTTCAGTGCACCTTAGTCAAAAGATAAACAAAATAGCTAGTTACCAAGGCTTTGATTGCAGCTTGAAACAGCAGTCAATGCCTAGATCAGAGCACTCCCTTGAGCCATACTGCACTGCTCTAGGGAAATGGTGAGGAGCACTAGCTTGTTACTAAAGGTGTAGTGAAACACACACCAAGCTACAATAAATAGGCTTTGAACTGATCTGGGCTACAGAGAACTCACATGGGGTAGCTCTGCTATCCTTAGTCTGGAATAAGGCTAAAGTATCTGTATCCTTTAGTGAGGGTCTCTGTGATTAGAGATCAGTGGCTATACTTCTTCCCCTTGTCTATCCCGAAACACTTTGTAGAAGTTTATTCGGACGTAGCACTGAGTTACTAGGTTTTTATACATAAAACAACAAAAGAAAACAGATTTGTGGATTTACTGGACAGCACTAATAATATAAGCACTGGTTTCAGAGTAGCAGCCGTGTTAGTCTGTATTCACAAAAAGAAAAGGAGGACTTGTGGCACCTTAGAGACTAACTCACTTCATCGGATGCATGCTGTAGCTCACAAAAGCTTATGCTCAAATAAATTGGTTAGTCTCTAAGGTGCCACAAGTCCTCCTTTTCTTTTTGCGAACATAAGCACTGGACATAAATGTCTGTTTCAATCACCTTATATAATCATTTAACTATGTTATCTGTTGTGGTTAATTCATATGTAACCAATGTGTGATGAATAGATTTAAGTTGTAGGTATTAGTTACAGGAATAAGTAGGACAGTATTATAGGGATATAAGGTTGACAAGCATTCATGAGTGATGCATGTGAATTAGGTACATAGGTACTGCCACTGGGGATGCTGCTGTAGCCCCTTGCTTGAAGTGGTTTCCATTACATACAGGATTTGCAGTTTGTTCAATGGCTCTCAGCACTCCCAGTATACAAATTGTTCCAGCATCCCTGTAGGTATATAAGCAAAGTAAGGTTGTAATGCAAAGCCTGCAGCCAGAGGCCTGTAAGATTTTAGCTTAGCCACATTAGGCCTTAGGGCCAGGCCTAAAGAAGGATTGACATGAGGAGGTGACCCAAGAGTAACTCTGTACCAGTAAAGTTACAAGATTATTGTAAAATACGTGCTAATGGGTAATGTTTGGTACCCATCAGTAATACAAGATGTTTGATTGCAACATCATGGAAAATTCTGCAGTGACTGCAGGTTACTATGGCGACTTGTTGACATAAATGCTAGCAAAAATATGGAGAACTAAGGACAGCCTATGAAAGGTGGGGAACCCCAAATTTTATGAGGTGTGGAAATCTTGATAAGGGGAAAGGATTGGAACCCTCAGACAAATGCATATGGATTATAGTGTGATCATAACACAACATAGAAGGGGTTCCCCAGCATGAACAGGGAGGAAGAATCCATCAGGAGACCCTCCACAGATGATCCCCTGTTGAGTGAGCCACCAATATTTATGGTATACTTGGAGATATGAGATAGGAGAACAATGATGCTGGACATATTATGGTTTGCTCCTTCTTCATTTATATATCTGTAATTGTGTCATTGATTATCTGTGTAGTAAAGTTTTTAATAAAGGGAAGATTGATAACTTGTGAAAGGTGTTGTGGTCTCTGCTGTTGTTCCTCGTGTGCTCCTAGAGTCTCCAGACCTAATGACATTTCTACTGACGGTTCTTGCCCTGCTAATTCTAATACTGTCATCCTTAGGGAGGGCGAACCTTTGGCACAGGTTACCTTGATTTAAGATCCCATTGGTAATACCAACCCATTCAGAATATAAAGGCTACAAGTCTAATGTCACTTTAAATTTTAAATAAATTACTTTAAAAATTGCATGCTTGATTTTTCATTACATATGAAATAAAAGCCATTTTTCCAAGCCATCAGCAGAAAGTAGATTTTTATATAACATAATATTCACTGCTGGTTTAAAATTGTTTAGGACTAAATTTGTCTAGAATCCATGCTTTTTGCTTTATAACAATTTTAAAATATATAGGGCCTGATCCAAAGCCCACTGAAGTCAATGGAAAGATTCCTTTTGTAGGCTTTCGATCAGGCTCATAATCCTTTCCTCTTGCTTTTCTCTCATTTATTTATAAATGAAATGGGGTGACTCTCCTGGCTGCTAGTCCGTGGTGCCAGGGCAGGTAATTTTATGTATGCTTTTATAATATGCTCTGAGGAGAAAATCTGGGATACGCATCTTAACACACTTCAAATCGCCTTCACCAAACAAAGACGTTCCACCAGAGAAGTAGATCACATAATGGAATAGGCTAATCAAATAGCCTGAGACAATCTGCTTCAATACAGGGGAAAAAACACCCCTTTGACCACACACCCCTATGTCACCTATTACCACATACTGGAATTCATACAGGGTATCATAAAACGATTACAGTCCATACTCGATAAGGACCATAACTTGAAATAAATCTTTCCTGAACCCCCTCTTCTTGCCTTCAGACACCCCCCCCCCCAACTTCACCACGCTTATAATCAGAAGCAAGCTCCCCACATCAGGACACACCAACTCAAAGCAGCACCAGACTCTGCCATAACAGATGCAGAACCTGAAGACCTATCTCCACTGCTATGATGATCAATACCCCACCCAACATATCTTTAAAGATCCATGGTTCCTGCACAAACCTATTACACAATGTGGTGTACCTCATCCTGTGCACTAAATGCCTCAACAACAACTACGTGTGTGAAACCAGACAATCACTATGCTTTCAAAAGAACATCTACAGAAAAATGATAAAAGACAAAAACACCCTGTCCCCTGGGGCCAAACACTTTTCACAAAACAATCACTCCATATCTGACCTCTCGTCTTCACCCTCAAAGGAAACCTGCATAATCCCTTCAAAAGATGAGCCTGGGAGCTTAAATTCATAAGTTTGCTAGACACTAAAATTCATGATCTTAATAAAGACATTAAATTTACAACAATCTGTAACCCACTAACCCCCCTTTTTTGTCCTATGACTGTGGAGGTATTAATGGGTGACTTCACCTCAAATAACAAGGAG